ATGACGATATTGTGGCCAACATCAGTGAGGTAACTGGGTTGGGCGTCCTGCTGGGAAAGCCGGCCTATTGTCTGATTCAAAGGTGTCAGGTGGCTCAATGTTGGGCCTTGACAAGCCTGGCCCGCCTTCAGTACGCGTTACTAAAAAAAAAAAAAATAAAAAAAAAATAATAAACTATAATCTACACTATGCTATGCTAATGTTATGTTGTATTACAATCTGCTTTGTAACAATATATTAAAAATGTAGTGATAGTAGTACAATTGATAAATATTACTAAATTTTTTAAAAACTCATCAAACATTCAAACATCGGTTAAAATTTTTTCACTGATGCTCAAAATTCTAGAGTTTGGAATCAATAAATGCTCGAAATTCACTGGTTCTAATTTCTACTTTGCACCCCATACATGCTACTGAGGAATAATTACTCGGGTATATTGGTGTAAGGAAAATTATACACTTGGTCTAAGAATTTTAAAACTGTTAAGTAAGGAACCTAATTCGTACTCAGTGAAATATTTAGTAGGTGCACTATTGCTGAGTTTTAGTTTCATCAAAATAAATATTTCTGTTAGTGTAGCACTATTGTATATTGATTATCTTTATTTATTATATTAGAATAACTATGATTTATAATTCAACATATAGAGAGCATGCAGTTTTTTCTAATAATATAGCATTAGAGAATTTTTCAGATATTCTCCAGGATGAAGAATTCCAAAACTTTGACACCCCTTTGATACCAGTGATGAAAATGAATTAAATGATTTTGAGCAGTATCTTGCTAACCTACTATTTCCTTGTTAACACACAGAGCTATTTGACATTTTGTCCTGGTGAAAAGTAAATGGGAAAAAATATTCCTCCGCATTATTAATGGCAAGGGATATCCTTGCCATTCCAGTAGCTTCAGTAGTGTTCGAAGCAGTTAATGGACTTTAAATTTTTTAGTTTTTTTTTTCTAAAACATAAGCTAACTCATTTTATATATAGGCATTTAGTACTGCTAGAAGAGTCATTGATGACTATCGTTCGAATCTGAGTCCTGAAACTGTTGAAATGTTAATACGTGGTCAGAATTGGATTAAAAATGCATCAAGCTAGGACTTAGGTTCTGGTAGTTTTTTTCTTATAATTTTTTTAATGGTTTTTTTTTTTCTTAAGATTTCTTTACTTTACATATTTTTTTTTTCTTTTATCATGATTTTTCTTTTATTTGTGATGCCTTTTTTTTTTTATGCAATGTATTAGAAATCGAATGCTTAAATTTTTGTAGACAATTTGGGGCATAAAAAAGTATATTTTTAGTTGGTACAATTTTTTAAATTAACAATTTCTAATTAGTATATATTTTTTTAAAAATTTCACAATTCTTTCAGTAATAAACAAATCAATTTTTTAGAATCATTTAATAATTCTTATAAGATTAAATTTGGTGCAATTTTTAAATATTCTTGCTCATCATACTATAGTAAATTTTATAAGGCTAAAAAAGAAATAATACTTTACAACATGATGAATATACACCTTATATTCCTATAAAAGATATAAACAATATGCCCTGTTATGCAAGCATAAGTATGTTACTGGTGTCACGAGTTAATCAATGACTTTCGTCAAAGAAAAACCTAACTCAGCAGTTAAGCACTATCAACTTTTGCTTAAAGTGATCTAGGATTTTTATTTATAAGGATAAGTATTTACTTTATATTTTATTATATTTTCATTATGAAAGAACAAGAACGTTTTTATTATTACTTTCGCTTCCCCTTTAATATGTCAAATTTGACTTAACAATTACATCATAAGAAATTTAACTCTTAAATTAATAACAAATTTCTGACTTATTATTCATGCTTAAACCTTAATATATGTTGATAAACTAAATTGTATCACCAACTATTGCAGTTTGATTAAATTTTTATACTTCTGATCGATCTTACTTTATTACGTAGATCACATGTATTTGACAACTTATTCATTTCAATCTGAAGATAAGTATATAATTTGCATGCATTTACACATATAGCATTATTATTAATCCACTAACCCTATTTTTAGTCAATCAGGTTGATCCCTTTTACCCAGTATAGCGGATACTGTTCTTTACCATGACACTGGTATAAGCTCAGATAAAAAGAAGAGCACTATTAAAGTACTAAGATATTATATTTGGAAATTTTAGAAAATTCGAAGATATGATTGAATTGAGAACTCAAGTTGAGTGTATAAGACTAAATAATTTAGTGATGGAATTCAGGCTTAGTATTTAAAGAATAATATCGAAGCAGTTCAATTTTTAAATTGTATTGAACATAGATATAAGTTTGAGGTGTGCAATGTATAAAAGCTTAAAGTAATATAACTCTAATATAATATGATGTTGTGAATTATCAAATGATCGGGCCAGGTTGGGTCAGATTGGGTTTTAAACCCGACCCGACCTAATCCGGCATGAAAATTTTTGTCGGGTCAGACCCAGATCGGGTTTTAAATGAGCCCGGGTTGGGTTTAAACAAACCTGACCCGGCTCGGCCCGTCCTGCACCCTAACAACAGCACATCTCTAGCCTATAGACGCTGGTATAATAAAGTTATTCAAATCAAAGTATATTGTGATTATGTTCTTAAACAATATGAATTCAATGCCGACATGGAAAAGTTCATATAATTATTGTCATAGCTGAAGCTGAGACTTGAGGTTTTTTTTTTCTTAAAAATATAGGCCCACTAAAACCTCTTCAGTTAACAAACCTAATTCTCAATCCTAAAAAAAACAAACAAAAAAATTTGTTAAAATAAGACCAATTCTCAGCTTTAGCTGTAATAATTATTATGTACTCTGTGAACCACATCTTATAGTTCATCTTTATATCAGGAAGTTTTTATAAAGTGTTTAATAGTGTTAACAAACACTACTGTTGTTTAACTTTAAAATTTGTAAAACAATGAACCCTACGTTAACTAACTATGTATAAAAGCACATAAAGCAATGCGTTTAACAATATATATTTGTTAACTAATACCAATTTACATTGCATTGTACAACTTAAATTTTATACTAACTAATACATAACTATTATTTAATGCTTATTACATAAAGCAACAAAATGACATTAACTATTGAAAAAATATACTTAAATGCACTTGCATATATTGCTTCTTCATGTAGCAACAATTACTATTTCTAGATCTAGCAATCATGACAATTTAGTTATAAAAAATTCAGAATCATCACCCAAATTAAAAGATTACTATTTTAAATTTACAATTAGACCACATACGTACGTAAGTATTAAGATTAATATGTGTTGATAATATTAAACTAAAATAAGTTACCTAATCTGCATAAAGATTATCGTCTGAACTGTTATTATTAACATTAGACAAAGATGATAAATGATTGGAAGTTTCATTTCATGCACTCTAAAATAAAAAATAATAAAGTAGTACATTAAAGAAAATAAATAAATAAGTAAGTATAAGTAAATAGTATATACTTACACTTTTATCGTTATCCATAATATGCTTAATCCATATATCAACATTCTCTGTATCAATTTTTGATAAAAGATAAGATTCATCGAACATTACTTCAAGTACTGCCTGAGTCCAAACAGTATTCTCATATGTGTGTTTTTTTTCAGAAAAAACACATATTTAATTATTAGTGTGAGGTAAGTATCTGAAGATGCATCTTCAGGGTCACTTGGAGTATATAGTTCTTCGTGAACTTTTTTTGTATTAGGATGTTGTTTCCATTGTTTCATTTGTTCCTTCGTATAATTGTCTTCAAATGGTTTAAGCCAATTAATTCCAAAAGTACTCCAAAGAGCTTCTTTGACACGTCTAATATAATAACCTCTCTTTAACCAATTAGCATCAAGTATTTATATTAGTAATACATATATAGGAGTTAGTAGCAATACATGAGTGTTGTCAAGTAAAATTTAAAATTTAGAAGTATGTAAAAATACTAACAGTAGAATAAAATTTCTTATGCCAATGTTGAGTAAATGAAATCTCTTTTTCTTTTAACTTTTGCAATTGTTCATTGCAAAAATCATCATCATCTAGCTTTGTTTTAAGTCGACTCTTAAGTTCATTCTCGTTAATTTGTTTGTGTTTGTGAAATAATTCATATGAAAGTCGCTTGATTACATTCTACAATTAGAATAAAATTATATATTACAAATAATACAAATAAGAACGTCGTACGTTAATATTAATAGAATTCATCATTCATTTTTTTATAAGATTTTTTTACTTTGGATTTCTCAATTTCTACGGAGCTAAATAATACATTGGGCTTTTCTAATTTTGTTAAAATCTCAAATATTTTATCCTTTTGTTCGTTAAATGATTCTTCCAAACTATCTAAATGTTTAGTTAGCGAATTCAGTTTAATAGAATTTTTCTGAGCAACTTGCAATATCTTAGTTAAAGTGCGTGAATCAACAGTAATTGCTAATTATTATAGAATTAATTTAATATTGTACCATATTAAAAAAAAAAACAAAAAAAGCTTAATAATTAATATTTACGTTCATCTTGAACTGAGAAGTCAGAAGGAGGATGAGGTATAACCACTTCAGAAGGAGGAGGTAAAGTTTCTTCAAATGGTTCTATGTTAAAAAGTGGTCTAACCTAGTGTAGTAACATAACCACAAAGTATCAATATAAAAATAGATCTATAAGAAATAATTCTTAAATTATAATAGATAATACTTCACTATTGGTAAAACAGATGAAATAGGTAGTTTGGAGTTCGGTCGTTTTAATTGTTCCAAAGGTTTTGGAGTTTTGAAATTCGGTCGTTTGGATTGTTCCAAAACTTTTGAAGAACCAGATACCGATTTCTTGAATTGTTCTGAAACATTTGGAGAACCAAAGATTGATTGCTTGGATTGTTTCGAAACTTTTGTAGTGCTAGAGACTATTTGCTTAGATAGTTCCGAAACTTTTGGAGTTCGTAAATTAAATTTTGTTTGACTAGAATTAAGTGAAGTATCAGAAGTTTTCATTTTTTTTTATATGCTAGTTGCCGAACTGCTCATATTAGCTTTAGTATCTTTAATAATATATTTGGAATAAATTTGGAATAATTATTTAATATATATATAAAAACATATGCTAAAATTCCTTATATCATTTTGTTCTGATTCCTAAATTAAATTAATAAATATAGTTAATATATTTGTATATATTAATAAATAATGCATAAAATACTTTGTTGTCTCTCATTTTTTCTCAATGATCAATTTCTTAATATTATTTGGTATTCGTAATTCAACTATCTTGCTGAAAATTTAATCTTCTAGTTGATCAACACTATGTATATAGTGTGTAGACGAATGGAAAGATATGACAAAAAAAAATGAGAGACAACATTAATTATAATATCAAATTTTTCTTGATTTCGTCTTTTAGGTCGTTGCAATACATTAAGATTAGATGTGTTGTTATCTGAAGTCTTGTTTTTGTTTTTGTTCATGGCTAAGAAAATATAGAATGTGATAAAAGCATATAAAAGAAAAAAAAATCCTTTTATTTATTAAATAATAACATATCATATAATGGTGATGAATTTATTAAATAATAACTAAATACTAATAATCTTGAAGTAATGATAAATGACAAATTACTAATAAGTAGTAACATTATGACATTGCTCAATTAAATTCAAACGTGACGTATAAAACATCTATATACATAAAAATGTATTGTACTATTATTAATATAAATTGAGGATAAAATACATACATAACTAATCTACAATTATGATAGTACAAGTAATTTTAAGTTTAATTCTGGCTCATACTTTGGTTCGTATTTATGGTTATTTCATGAGGTATGTATGATACCTTTTACCAACTTTTACCATAATTTCACTGTTCGAAAGATACGGTTTTGCTTTATTAAATTTGAGTTGAGAAGAAAAAAAAAAATAAAGTTCTCGCTAATTATAATAAAATACGTGTTTGCTTTATTAAATTTGAGTTGGAAAGAAAAAAAAAAAAGAAGTTCTCGCTAATCATGATAAAATACATGTTTGCTTTATTAATTTTGAGTTGGGAAGAAAAAAAAAAGAAGTTCTCGCTAATTATGATGAAAATATATGTTTGCTTTATTAAATTTGATTTGGGAAGAAAAAAAAAATGAAGTTCTCGCTAATCACGATAAAATACATGTTTGCTTTATTAATTTTGAGTTGGGAAGAAAAAAAAAAAAATAAAGTTCTCGCTAATTAGGCCATGTACATAAATAAAATTGATTCTCGTCACCCGGCCAGGTGACTTTTTTATAAAAGTTAAAATGTTTTTTTATAATAGCATATATACAGGTAACGTGATACAATTTATACCGAATGCTCGCTAAATCAACTTATTGATCCCACTCTTCACAATGAACTTGCTATGATGAAGTCATAGGAGACAGAGGGCCAGGGTGTTTCAAGTTTTTAAATTGATAAGTATAACACTGTAAGGGTGGAAGTTGTATGCTTTGTGTAGAATTCACAAAATTCGCTTAGATAAATTTTTTTTTTTTTGAGCAAATTCAGCAGAAAAATTGGGTTGTAATTTTTTTTTTTAGACTGACACAAATATTATTATATTAACCATAGGTCACTGCATTACACTGATGTGAAACGTTACTATGAAATACTCAAATCGACTATTATATTTACTTTAAATTTATTCCAAGATGTAAGGTTAAAAAAATATAGAATTATTTGCAGAAACTTTTACGTGTGCTTTTTTGGTAGTCTTTTCCCCGTTCCTGGGCTGTGTAAATATTTGTAGTCACATTTCTAATATTTGAACTAGTTGTAGTACATGTCGTTGTATGACTAATTCTTTTAAGATTGCACAGATAATATATTTATAAGAGCTTTTGCTCATACCGCGACACTTTTCTTAACTGCTTTTCTTTTTTTAGCTTTAAACTTAACACCTTTGCCCTTTTTTTTTTTAGTTTTTACTGTGGCATAGCATTCAGAGCAATATGGTTGTTCACTAGCAGGAGTTGGAGAAAGATTTCTGTATCACCACACTGGAAACAAACGTCAGGATAAAGGCGAGAAGAAAAGTAAGGAACTTCCATTGATGTCGCGCAGGTAAGCTTGGCATTAACAAATACTCGTTTGAACAATGTCTCTAAAGATAAACTATTCTCTGTATTTTGTAGTTTTGTAAACAATTCATCAACAGACCTTTTATCAATAAACCTTTCACCATCTTCCATATCATTGCCATCGTAGTCACCATCATCATTAAACCTTTCACTATCTTCCATACTATTGCCATCGTAGTCACCATCATCAGTAAACCTTTTACTATCTTCCATACCATCGCCATCATAGTCACCATCACCATTTATATCATTATCTGTGTCTTGAAGCTCAACTTCGTCATTATTTATGCTACAATTATTATTGTTTCGAAATGTGGGTGAACTGGCTTTTGTGAGATCTGAAATTCCATAAAATGTTGTGCTGCATGTATAATCAATTGTTTCTAAGAAATTTCTAAGAAGATTTTTCTCCTCTGGGTTTAGATGATGTTGTGAGTAGAGAACTCGCGGATGGTTACATTCAATGCACTTGACCAAGATGCGAACATTTGTTGCATATTGTGCTCGAGGACTGAAACCCATTCTATTAACACCAAGACCATCAATAGTCGTAGTAGTTGTTGATGTAGGCACATTGGCTTTTTGAAGCAATGATGGGCGGTATTTTTTACTAGTATCTTTACTATATATTTCACAGAATGGTATATAATGATCTTTATTTGCTTTAGGAATAGGATCGGGGAAGGGTTGCAACTTTGAAAATACATCAGGTTTACTCCGTGGCGGTCTACAAATTGTACAACCTGTTCCAGCTTCTTGACATTTTCGAATTTCAAAAAAATATGTTCTCGAACGACAGCAATAATTCATAAACTCAAGGATACGGGGCTATATATATAAATACATTTGTAAGTAAATATTAATTGTGGCAGCTTACGCTAAAATTTGAGCCTATTTTAATGTAAAATTTAAATTTTAGGGGTGCATCTTTTATTTATTTATAAAGAATATAAATGAATGCCAATAAAATTATAGATTTAAATAGACTCCAAATATAAGTACATGTTGCAAATTTTTTCTTGCAAATTCGAAACTGACTTTATTTTCAATATGTTTCTTTGATGTATCTTCGGGTACCAATGAATTATCTACTTCAAGTACCAATTCCTACAAATGTTTCATGTCTTGATCTGTTGCTGCTTCAAATATGGAAAATTTTTTCCCTTTGAGCTCTAACCGTTTAAAAATTTCTTGCATAATGGTTTTTGTAGAGTGCACACTTTTAATTATTCCTTTCTTAAGCTGAGGTGTTTTATTAGCTTTATTACGAATTTCTTCAATTGTATTGCAACTTTTCATCAAACTTTCTAATTCTTTACTCATTTCAGTTCTCATTAGACCAATGCATTGCAATCCGAGATTTAAGATAGACATAATACGTTCAATCGGATTTTTCCACGAGTGTCCTGGAGGTGTTTGAACAGCAACTAAAAAATCAAGATCCAAAGCTAAGAAAATTGCAATTAACGCAAGTTGTACACGAAGAAAGTTTACTCGATGGTCTGGCCCACCATTGGTATATATAAAGGCATAAGGCTTGTCATCTTCAATACTTTCCAAAATATTGTATAATTCTGTAATATGTCGTATTGGACTTGACGGCTCAAAGATACACTCTTTTAGCCCAACAAAAACCTTTCCAGCATAAAATGATTCTTCAATTGTTCTGGGTATGTTGCACAACATTGTAACGCTTGGGATAATTCCACATTTTGTAAAATTATGATCACTTACAGTAAATGTTGTGTTACGATTAGCAAGGACTCGTTTTCCACGATCTACAGCCACAACAGGATACCCAGGTTCACCAACCTTATAGCGATGTTTATCGTCCATAAAAATAAGCTGAGCTTCATCTCGAAACATGATTGCTATTTCTTTTAAATATCAAAATAACGCAGATGCATAATGCAGGTCAACATGCTCGCACCGAAGCTGACGAACCTGAACCATAAATTTAACTAGTAAAATACCAGTATATTGCAAGCTATTCTTATTCGTTGGTGTAGTTGGCCAAAACTGTAAATGAAGCTATTGAGTGGATGAGATTGGTATTTGTGAATTAATTTTTTTTGCTTCGTTTGTTATCATATCACGAAGATCATGGGCCGAAATGACTTGTGCAAGATGCACAATTGGATTGTATCTTATTTCATCAACAGCAACCACAACTTCCTGCGCAATGCCCTCTAAAAACTTTTTGCCTATAGCCCAAAATTCATCGTATTTGCCCGGTCGACCTTCATTAAGTTCTCTGAGATCACTAATTATTTTAGGATCATTAAGTTCAAAGGCCAGTTTAATACGCTCATCAACTTCTTTCTGATTTGTTGTTTTCGCTG